GGACTCCTGGGTGTGTGGGGTTGTTTGGATGTGAGTAAATAAGATATAAAATAGGGATGTGTTTTTGTTTTGGTGAATTGTTGAGCTTGTCGTGTATGTTTTTTAAAGTGAGAAAAGGGAGTATCACATCTCTAAGTAGGACTAGTTAACATCTCCATCAGCACTTTTCTAAGCAGGACTAGTTAACGTCTCTATCAGCGCCTCTCCAAGCAGAACAGGTTAATGTCTTCATCAGCACTGTGTTCTGAACAGAGGTGTACAACTGTTTATGAGACTGAAGTGGGGACCCTTCCTGTCTTATGGCTTGTGAGAATAGTGTTGATGACGACTAAAGTCTGCATTGCATTCAGGCACCTGCGACAGCATTCTGTTGGTACTTCTTGACTTGCAGTGGTGACCTGGGCACAAGGAGGTGACCACTGGCACCACTCCCATAGCTCCACACGGGAAAACCTGTTTCTGTAGCCTGAGTGACAAAGACTTCTAGAGCTGCCGATATCTCATCTTCACTGTGTTGGCCCAGCTGTGATAGGCACATATGGTGCATTCAGTTTGTTTTCACTCTGTTGTTATGAGGGGATTAAAGTGCCTTGGCTTCAGAAGTCAGATCACCCCTCCCTGACTCACTTCCATGTTAGTTATTTCTGTTTTCTTAGGTGAAATGGGAAGATAATCTGACTTCATGAGTGGTTGTGAGGATTACATGGGTCATTGCTTGCAAGACTTTTAGTGGAGTATGTGACATAGCATAAGTGATCAATGTTTGCCGTTTATCCCTTCAGTAATTATATTTTAAATATTATGTGTCAGTACCTGTGGTGAGTGAAACATTCCTTGGATTTTATTTGTGAGGAGAGAACATGGATTCTGTCTCACTTATGAAAAACACCTCTAATCTTGAAACTTTTATACACATATACACACACGCATATATGGCAAATTTTTGGTTATATACATAGAAAAGCAAAGGTATGTATGTTATTTAGTTCTGGTCAGGAATTTCCTTTGCCTTTGACATCTAAATGACTCCTTTTGACATCTAATGATATATAAATGACTTCTACTCAAAAGGTATTTTTGGAGCTAATTTTTTAACTAATTTTTTTAAATTAAGGAATTGAGATTTTAGTGTGTATGTAGGAAATAGGAATACCACAAAATGTCAAAATAAAGAATGAGCTAGCTTAGTTTTGATAATAATAGTGTTCTCCTTTTTTTCTGAGTATCTCATCATATTATATTAAAATTACAAGATCATAAATAGTAAGTTGGAAATTGTTTTAGCGATCAAGTCTTTCCCAAATGCTTTCTGTATGGACAACCTTCTGTGCTAGAGAGAATTTATTCTTAAAATTGAAGTATTTCCTGAAACGATTACCTGTGATCCTAGATTTTACCTTCAAAGTGTGACTAATCCCCTGTACCCGATGACCCTTCATTGTCTGGAAAGTGCTCTGTGAGTATCCCTTGCCTAGATTAGACGGAGTAAGCTGGTTCTCGTCACAGGGCTTCAAGCTTTTTTTCTTTTAAGTACCCTCTTCTGTGTATTCTTACCGAGGTCGATTGTCTTTAGCAGATAGTCACACCACTGTGCTTTTCCCGTTTCTTAATTGGGCACTGTTACTGGTAAATTTTCTCTGGGGTCATTGTAAAGAAGTGAGTAACGGTTCAGTGATATTGAAAAGAATGAAATGATGATCATTCTCTTAGTTGAGGTACTCTCCTTCTATTAATGCTGTGTAACATTGCATGGCCTCTTTGGCAGGCATCTCAAGCTTGGTGTGCTGCTTGGTCACATTGTCCTCACTGATTCCATCATAATTTACTTTTTTTAGAGTTAAGATGTTTTCCAGTATAAGATATTTTGAACTTTAATAACTTGTTTGTAAAATATATTAACGCCTTTTGAATTCCTGCTTTCTTTATAACAGAATTATAATAAGGTTGTTTTCCCCCAGCTTCTTTGTGAAACTATGCTGGGTCCTAGTCATCAGTATTCTTTTTTGTACATGTAGGAATCAGTGGTTTAGGAATCAATTCTAGAATTTGTCCAACGATCTGTATGAAGTACATGTCCTTTAGCATCTCTCGTTTACTTTGATGTCAGTAGTGGTTTAGTGATCGCATTACCAGGGATGAGTATACAGGAACCTAGATAACCTAGATTAATTGGTAGATGTGTTTGTAATAACTCTTCGTCAGTTTGGTTTATCCTTTGTTAGTCATTCATGTGTAAACATTTTTGATAGAGAATTCTGGTTGAATAGGAGTTAAGTAGATTTGCTTTCTTTTTCTTGACAAAAATCAATAGTACTGATCATTTATTGAACACTTATTACATGGTGGACCATGTGCAAAGTACTCTATACTTTTTATATTTAATATTGTCAGTAATGTTATGAAGTAGCTTCATTTTACAAACTAGAATATAAGGCTTAGGAAGATTAAATAGCTTTCCCAGGGTCATAGCTCATGAATGCTAGAGCTGTAACTCATACCCATACTTGTAAGATTCTTAGAGCATTTTTGTGCCTTTCAAGAAATAGAGAGGCCTTTTATCCAGAAATATGTGTTCATTTCATAGTATGGAAGGTCTGCAATCTTACCAGTTGATGTTCTTCTGGATAGAGATCTTTTATCTGCTGGCTGCTTGCTGTCCTTTGGAGTTTTCTATTTTTTTTTTTTTTTTTTTAAGTTGGAGTCTCACTCTGTCGCTCAAACTGGAGTGCAGTGGCCACTCCCGGCCACTGCAGCCTTGACCTACTGGGCTCCAGCGATCCTTCCACCTCAGCCTTCCCAGTAGCTGGAACTACAGGCATGCGCTACCACACCCAGCTGATTTCTTAATTTATTGTAGAGATGAGGTCTCACTGCCCAGGCGGGTCTCGAACCCGTGGGTTCAGACAATCCACTCACCTCAGCCTCCCAAAGGCGCAGGATTACAGGCTGAGCCACCGAGCCCAGCTTGGAGTTTTCTGTCTTACTGGTGTAAAGGTTTTTGGGTCTGTTCATAACAGAGTCTTTGTTGTACAGAGTCTTTGTCTATTACAGGGGCCCCCAACCCTTGGGTCACTGGTCTGTGGCCTTTAGGAACTGGACTCCACAGCAGGAGATGAGTGGCGGGGCTAACATGCAAAGCTTCATTTGTATTTACAGCCATTCCCCATCACTAGCATGAGCACCTGAGCTCTACCTTCTGTCAGATCAGCAGTGGCATTAGATTTTCATAGGAGTGTGATGTGAACCTTATTGTGAATTGTAGTGGATCTAGGTTGCACTCTCTCAGGAGAATCTAATGCCTAATGATCTGAGGGGAAGCTGAGGTGGTGAGGCTAACACTGGGGAGCAGCTGTATTATTGAACATCATGTGCTGTAATCTGTATTTAGCTGTAAATACAGATTAACATTAGCAGTGGGGTTTGATTGCACAGCATAATAAATCAGTTGCTTGTAGACTCATACCAAAACCCTATCAGTGAGTGACAAGTGAGTTAATATATTTCAGTTGTACATAGCTGCATCTGGTGGCAGGCTTTAAGTCAGAATCTAACACTTATTTTAGTCCATGGATGGCCTGCCCATTATTTTATTTACCACGTCTACCTACGCCTCTTTTTTTTCTTTCTATGGTGAATTGTAGAATTATTTCATTATATAGAATTATCCTGAAACCATCACTCCTACCCATGGAAGAATTGTCTTCCACGAAACTGATTCCTGATGCCAAAAAGACTGGGGACCACTGGTCTATTACTAACTCATTATTTTAATTATCGATTGAGTTACTGATATGAAAATTGTCGCCTGACTATTAAATTATGTACACAAGCTTTGGACTTTAATGGGCTTTAAATCTTGGCTCTAGATGTGTGGCCATTAGCCATTTACTTAATTTTTCTCTGCCTCGGTTTTCTTAGTGAATATAATAATACCTTTCTCCTAAGGTTGTTATGAGAATTTTGTGACTGTGTAATACATGTAAAATAATTAGATGATTACCTGGCACATGATGTTCAATAATTGTAACCTGTTGTTATTACTAGTCACTAATTAGTTTCTATCAATTAGTTTTAAATGAAACACTAATCAATAACATACTGATAAATTGTCATTTTGTTGTTAGATTTATTTTTCCTCTGTGAATTTTCTTAGACTGTTGTCTTCCAGGTCTTCTGGCTGTGGGCTTATGTTAAATATGTCTCCTGTTAATAAGAACTGTGTGCCAAGCACTGTACAAAGCATTTTACAGTTAACCCATGCTATAGGAATTATTATTAACGGTTATTTTTGTGGACTTTTAAATTTATTGCTTGTCGAACCAGGCACAGTGTTACCTTCTTTATCTTTATGGGAATCTAAAAGGAGAAAGTAATGCCAGTGCTGGCTATTTCATTAGCAGTTATATAGTGTTTCCTTGTGGTTGAGGAGCACTAGTTGGTACTGGAGACTAGATTCTCTTTTGTTCTCTGTGACCTATTGGATTACTGTTGGATACGTGTTTCCGCTGTTGCATCCCCTGACTGATGAGGCGGTCTATTGAGAAAGGGAACTTGAGAGTGTGTCTGAGGGTTCTTCTGCCTTTGAATGTCCAGGCAATGAGATCTTTATCTCTGTCCTAGTGATGGTTCTGCCATCGATGTCAGAAAGTTTTCTTCCTGTGGACAGGATCTCTCCTTCAATACTGGCTTCAGGTTAAAGGGGTACTGTTTGATTTGGTTGAAGGAACTCCTAGATGCCAGACCTTGGGGAGCCTAGACTGTGGGGCATACACACCAGACATGGAGATTTTTGACATGTAGTCACGCTCTTGGAGTTTCAGATACACATTTAGATTTTGTGAGCTTTATTATTTATTAAGGGTAAAATAAATGATTTGTAAGATATTTATTCAGTTCTATTATTTAATTTTGTAGTTTTGCAAACCTGCTAGTATAGTTTTTAAAATTAGAAATAAAATAAGAAACTGGGTTTTAAGCTCCCTTCTGTGCTTATTTTTTAGGTGGTATTAAAGATAATCAAACATTATCAAGAAGAAGGACAAGGAACTGAGGTTGTTCAAGGCGTGCTCTTGGGCCTGGTCGTGGAAGATCGACTTGAAATTACCAACTGCTTCCCTTTCCCGCAGCACACAGAGGATGATGCAGACTTTGATGAAGGTAAGATTGCTCCTCTCCAGTGTCCCTTCTAGTGCATACAAGTGGGTAATACAGTTCTTACCATAACTTTTGAGAATGTTAATGGGAGTCTGCCAGGCTAGCCTAATTCACTTGATTTTCTTATTTTTTGGAAAAATTACATAAATGCTTGAAAATGAGAATTTCTATCATAAACTTCATTAGTTTGTGATTTTGATTTGTAGTGATTTGAATATGAACTGTGCTGATATTGACTTTTCCAGTATGAAATTGGGCTTGCCAGATAAACTTACATTGTGTAGGACACGGATCATCAGTGTGCGTCCACCATCCATTCTCTTCTATCTGTGTTCAAGAATATATGAGTTCAGCCCTCTGCTTCAGAAAGAAGATACTTTTTGAACATTTGAGAAACATCTTATTTTTGTGTTACAGGTATAATTGTTTTGTTAACAAAGAGAGATAGTAGTTAAAAGCTCACATGAAAGACCGAAGTCAACATCTAAAAGATTTTATTAAATCTAGATGAATGTCACATCTCACTTGTTTGAACTCTCACAGTTTCATTTTTGTATAACTTTTTTGTATTGTGGTAAAAAACACATAACATGAAATCGATCATCTTAACCATTTTTAAGTATACACAACAGTAATGTTAGCTATGCATGTTGTACAGTAAATGTCTAGAACTTTCATCTTGCAAAACTGAAGCTCTCTATCCATTGAACAAATAATTCCCTTTTCTACTTCCTTTACCTCCCAGCAACCACCATTCTACTTTCTGATTCTGAAAGTTTGACTGCTTTTAATACCTCATCTAAGTGGAATCATGTGGTATTTATTTTTGTGAGTGGCTTATTATACTTAGCATAATGTCCTCAAAATTCATCTATGTTGTAGCATAGAGCAGGATTTCTTTTTTCTAAAATAAAATAACATTCCATTATGTGTGTATGCCACATTTTCTTTATACTGTCATCTATCCATGGTTACAGGTTGTTTTTATCTCTTGGCTGTTGGGAATAATGCTGCCAGGAACATGGGTGTGCAAATTATCTCTTCAAGACCCTGTTTTCAATTTCTTTTGGATATATACCCATATGTGGTATTGCTGGATTATATGATAGTTCTATTTTTAATTTGTTGAGGAACTTTGATACTGTTTTTTATAATAGCTGCACCATTTTACTTTCCCACCGACTGTGCACAAGGATTCTAGTTTCTCAGTATCCTTGTCAACACTTATTTTCTGTTTTAATGTCCATTTTAACAGTTACGAAGTGATATCTCATTATGGTTTTGATTTGCACTTTCTCAATGATTACTTGATGTTGAGCATCTTTTCATATGTTTGTTGCTGATTTGTATATCTTTAGAAAAATGTCTGCTTAAGTCCTTGGCTCATTTTACAATTGGATTTTTTTTGCTGTTGAGTTGAAGGAGTTCTTTATATATTCTGGATGTTGACCTCATATCAGCTGTAAGGATTGTAATATGTGTTTCCTTCTATTTTGTAGGTTTCTTTTCGCTTTGTTGATTGTTTCTTTGTTGTGTAGGAGTTTAAAAGTTTGATATACTCCCTCTTTGCCTATTTTTGGTTTTTTGCTGGTGCTTGGTATCAATTCAAATCATTGCCAAATCCAGTGTCATGAAGCTTTTCCCGTTTTCTTCTAGGGGTTTTATATGTTTCTGGTCTAAACAATCCTGGCATATACAATCATATGATTTAATTTTTGTACTACATATATATAGTGTAAGGTAAGGGTCTAACTTCATTCTTTTGTTTGTGGCTATCCAGTTTTCCTAGAACCTTTTGTTTGAAGAGCTAGTCCTTTCCCACTGAGTGGTCTTGGCATTTTTGGGCATTCCTGTTGAAGATCACTTGACATTGTATGTGATGGAGTTCTCTCTCTCTCTCTCTCTCTCTCTCTCTCTCTCTCTCTCTCTCTCACAGGGTCTCACTCTGTCACTCTGTCACCCAGGCTGGAGTTCAGTGGCACACTCATAGCTCAACGCAGTCTCGAACTCTTGAGCTCAAGCAGTCCTCCTCTTGAGTAGGTGGAGCGACAGATGTGCGCTACCATGCCTGGCTAACTTTTTGTTTTATTTTTTGTAGAAGGTCTTATTATATTGCCCAGGCTGGTCTTGAACTCCCAGACTCAAGCAATCCTTCTGCTTCAGCCTCCCAAGCTGCTAGAATTACAGGTGTGAACCACCACGTTGATCTTTTTGCCATTTTCTATATAAGTTTTAACTGATCACTCTAACTTTGATGAAATGTTACTTATTTCATTTGCTTTCAGATCTTCATAGTACCTTGAATATAACAGACACAAAGTGTATTCGGGCTATGGTTAAATACCTTGCATTTTGTCTGCAAGTTGGTTTTTCATTAAAGTGATGTCTCTAGAAACAAAGGTTTCTACTTTGGTTGTAGGCAACTGAGTGCTAGGACCCTTGCTCTTTTTAAAAATCTTTGTACAGCCTTTTCCTCCCTCCTGGCTGTGCTCTTCCTATTTCATCTGAATTACCTCTGACAACTAAGGTTGACAACTGTAGTCCATTCTGGCAGTATTAAGATATCTTTGTTCCCCTATGCACGAGCATATCTGGGGGTGCTTAATTATATTTCAGTGATCACTACTTTGTCACTGGAAGGCCAGGGATTGTTAATACAATTTCTTTGGTTTACAAGTGAGGATCTTGAGAGGTTTCCTTGGAGTGATTTGTTTGATTACTGAGTTGGTGGCATAGCTAAGAGTAGAATCTATCTCAGAACAGTTCACACTGTCACAGTTTTCTTACGTAGTTAATTTTAAAAATAAAATTCTTTGTTCAGAATATGAAGAAATAATGTTCACTGCAATTATGGTAGATAAAGCAAAACTTATTACTAATTCTAGGTCTTAATCATTGAAAGCTAACTTCTTTTATTCTGAACTACTTGACCAGTATGTTATTTCACTAATATCTACCTTGAGAAGATCATTATAACTGTTTTACCATCCCTGAGATAAGGAGAGCCTTCAGTTTAGCATTAAATAATAAATTGGACATTGTGTACTGCGTACTCTGTATAAATTGCCCATGATGAGTTGTTACTCTGCATAGTTGAGGGTCTTACAGTCTCATTTTCCAGATTAGGAAACTGATGCCTAGTGGGATAAGTAACTTGTTCAAGAGGTAATATAGGGATTGAAACCTGTGGCTGCCTAGATACCAATACCATGGCTTTCCATTCCAGAGTGTTACTCTGAGACTCCCAGGGAAGTATATTCCAGAGATTTAGGGTGTTGAGTGTGAGCTGTCATTATTCTGTATCTGAAATGCACTTTTTGTGTAAAATAAATTTGTTTTTCTAGGTTTACCTGTAGAAACTAATAGGAATTGCCATGTTTCTTACACATGTGAAAAACCTAAGACAGTACCCTATATATCTTTGCAGCCTCCTGTGTTAGGTTTGAATTTTAGGTTCATTCACCTAACCCATTCATTCTGTGTTAATGGGCATTAGAATGTAGTCACCATTAGAATTTTAAAAATCAAGCCTAGATAAAAACTAAAATTTCTTATTATAGGGTGATATATGCAGAACAGAATAGTCCTATATGTTGATTATTTTAAGTCCTGGTAAAGGCCCACTGCTTTGTGTACTGCTTTTTAAATTTTATGCCATCTAGAACTAATATTAATTCATGGAAAATTTTTTTTTCCTACCACCCACCTTATGCAAGCAAGATGCCAAATAGTTCATAATTTTGATGATTATCTATTATGAGTTGCTTAGAGTTTTTTTTTGGAAGCGAGGAGGGGTTGTTTTGTTTGTTTGTTTTGGTGCCTCATGTGGAGAGTGGATTTTTAATCTGTGGTCCAAAAGTGAAATGTCAGTGTTTTAAATCAGAGGTTGGCAAATTATGACCCATGGAAAGAGACTGCTGTGCTTGTTGGTTTCTGTACTTTATGTGGTTGCATTCCCTCTCCAGTGACACAGTGGAATTGTTGGCAGAGACTGTGGGTCCTGTGCCTAAAGAATTTGCTATCTGGCCCTTTAAGAAAGTTTGGCCACCTGCGATTTATATTTCTCTTACTCCTTATTGTTCTTCCTTTCTTGTAAGGTTAAAGAATAAGTCAGTGAATCTTTTTATCATACATTGGTGATTTTGAGTTTGTGGTTTATTTCTTCTAAATATTACCCCTATACTGACTGAGTCCAGCAGTTATTGTAAGCACTGAAATGAAAAGGCTGTTTGTCTCAATAGTGCATCTAGGAAGGAAGTAACAGGATAGGTAGCTTCTGCTTTAATTTTAGTGCATTTTTTCTTCTAAAAAAGCATATATTAAGTTTCTGAAATCTAGGGGAATGTTCTGTGTGCAATACGGAAGAAAGACATTAAATCCATGTTGCAGACTTGTGCCTGGGTACAAGGTAATGGTATGAAGCCAAGAAACATGGGTGAGATCTCTGCTCTGTATGTGGGAGCTGGGCGATGCTGAATCACTCCTGAGCCGTGTTTTCTAACTGTGATATCTTTTATTTAGCACGTATTAATGGCTCACTGAGTTCTAGAAACAGTGAGAAGGATAATGTCTTCATGAGATTAATTTTGCATTGTGCTGCCCTGGATTATGTTTATTATAGGATGCTTCAAAACCTAGAAAATTATTGTGGTATGAGTTTTCTACAGTTACTTTCTCTCTGTTAATTCATAGTTTGTTTTTATACACGTGGTAATTCTCCTTTGAGTGGTTTAAATCTTGATAGCTTTTTTTTTTGAGTTGAAGTCTTACTTTGTTGCTCAGGCTAGAGTGTGGTGGCACGGTCACAACTCACTGCAGCCTCGCCTCCTGGGTTTAGGTGATCCTTTCACGTCAGCCTCCTGAGTAGCTAGGACTACCTGTACGTGCCACTACACTCGACTTTTTATATTTTTTGTAGAGACAAGATCTTGCCATGTTTCTTAGCCTGGTCTTGAACTCCTGGCCTCAAACTATCTTTCTGCCTCGGCTTCCCAAAGTACTAG